GGGGCGCGAGCCCCCGCCCTGGCCGGCCCCCTCGGCAGCAGCTGTCCCTGGCCCAGGCTCCAGACACATCTCACCACCTGTTCAGGAATGAGGACTTGTGCTTGAGGAGACAATGACCACACCTGGCACAGCCTCCATAGCATTGAAGGGACATGCCAGGGGCAATGCCACCCAGTGCTGCTGGACCAGAGACCTCATCCAAGCTCCAGCACCCCACAGCTAGGCAAGAACACTTCTGTGCCCCATGTGGCACCAGTGCACATCGTGATGGTGACAACTCCCTGCCTCTCAACCCTTCCTGTGCCCATGGGGCTGTCCCTAGTGCAGGTCACAGCTGGGAGGATCCAAGGCAGCAGCGTGGGGACATCCAGGACAGATCCAGACCCGCTACAACGTGGGCCAGGAGTTGTGCCACAATGGGCCCCCCTTTGGCTGCTGCTCTTCTCACTGGTGCCCGCAGCACCCCAAAACCACCAGCAGTTAACCTTCCATCATCCAGCCATCCACCTTCCCAATGAGACACCCAACTGCTTCAGCACACGGGTGCTAGGGGGTCCTGGCAGCATGTGTGGCTGCACACGAGGGATTTGGGGCAGGGATGGTGCCCAGGTGCCCGCGGAGGGCAGGACAGCACATGCACACCACACTCCCCATCCCGCCACTGAGCCCAGGGCAGGACAGGGCTCCCTGTGTGCAGGGGTGTCTGTGTCCCAGCTCCATGCTGTCCTGGAAATGACAGGGGCCACGGGGATGCTTGTTCCCCCACCATGGTAAAGAAACTGTGAAGCTGAAGCTGGGTCCTGGGTCCCTGCAGCCCTTTGGGAGGGGAGATACTCAGGCTGCCAGGGGCATGCTGGCCTCGCAGGGCCAGTGGAGCTGGTTAATGTCTCTTGGTGGAGGACACCTTCTTCTTCCGGGCGGCCAGCATCTCGTAGAAAGGGTCCCGGCTGATGGCTGCCCTGGCGAGGAAAAGGAGGAGCTGTGTTGACCACACAACCAGGCAAAATCTGCTGCAGGGTGGGGTCTGTCCTGCTGAGCAGGGCCTCAGGCAGGTCCCTTTGTGCCCCTGGGAAACCCCATCCTTGCAGGGTGTCCTGGGAAGTGCTGCCCAGCTCAAGCACAGCAGGTCAGGTCTCTGCTGCGCCCCTGCCCAGCTCTGTGCTGCCTGCTCCTCCCTGCACTCACTTGATGCACTTGATCCACTCCTCCTTCTCCTCGGGCGTGGGGGCTGAGATGCGGTACACCGTGTGGTTCCCCTCCACCACCCGCCCATCCGCCTCCGTCTTGCAGGCCTTGATCACCTGGTCCTTGTTGTCGGGGATGTAGAGCTCAAAGCAGTTCTGGGAGGAAGGAGACCCTTCAGAGGCAGCCCCCGCTTCCAAAGGGGGCCCCATGCTGGGTGGGATGAGGCAGAGCGGCGAGGCTGCAGGTACCTCTGGCACAGCCCCCCCAAACAGCAGGGAGGGATGGATACCCTGTGACTGCTACCCCATGGCCCCCAGCTGTGCCCTGCCACCACCCCTGGACACTGCAGTGACTCTCCCCAGGTCTGCCCTGGCTGCTGTGATGGTGGAGGCCGCAACAGCTGGAGGGTCCTCCTGTGTCTCCTGAGAGAATCTCTCCAGAACTGCAGTACCTCCCAGCTCTGCCTGCCCCAACCCAAGCACCAGGGCTACCCTTCCCATCCCAGGGGACCCTGCCATGGCACTCACAGGCTTCTTGGAGTCCTCCACCTCACGGATGCTCAGATTCTCCAGGGGGATGATGCCACGGGGCTCTTTATCCTGGTGGGGCCAAGCAGAGGCTTTAGCTGCAAGCTGGACACCTCTGAACCCTCCATGTTTCCCCAAGGCAGGGCTGAATGCTCAAAACACCCTTCTCCCAACATCCCTCTGTGCAGGCTGGTGCTGACTGGCCTGAGCCAGCAGCCACCAGCACCCTAACATGGCAGGAGGCAAGTGGCCTGCCCTGTGCCGGATGCTGCACCCGACGTGTGCCGCGCAGGCTGGACCCAGCTCCCTGCCCGGACCCAGCACCCCCGGAGCAAAGGGCACTCACCGTTGTGTACTCAAAGTAATAAAGGCAGTTGTCAGTCAGGATGAACCAGCGCCGCTTCCACGTCTTCACCCTGCCTCCTGGGAGCAGAGAGGGGCAGGTTGGGTGCAGCCGCGGCACAGCCGGGGCGCGCGGCACACGGAGGCTACGGCAGAGCTGGAGCCCACGCGGACACACACAGAGAAGCACCCGGCGCAAGCAGAGCCAGGCAGGCAGCGCCGGGCAGGGCACGAGCAGGAGCAGGAAGCAGACGGATGAGGATGGAGGCAGAGGGTGCTGGGGGGGCCGGGCTGGGAGCACTGCGCCTGCTCCCACCCAAACCAAGGATTGAGTGTGGCCAGAGGGTGCTGCAGCCAGGCAGCTCCTGGGGAGACACAAGGACTTTCACACCGACCACCACCCCACTGCGTCCCAGCCAGCACAGCCTGGTGCCGGGGCAAGGCCCGAGTCCAAGGCCACGCAGATTTGTGGTTGGAGGGAGTTTCACAACTGACATCACAGGGAGAAGCCACTCTCTGGGCTCAGGGACCACTCACCCCCAGGCTCGGCTCCCCCTCCACCAGGCCAGCATGCTCTGGACATGGCAGCAGTGCCAGATGTGCCAGCATTGGACAAGCACCCAGGCTGAGTTGCCCAGGTGTCCATCTCCCCCACCCTGGTGCCTCCCGTCTCCCCCATGCCAGCTGGGCACCCACCACAGTCCCTGCCAAGAGCCAGGCTGAGGTCAGCATGTCCTACAGAAAGCCCCTCTGTCTCTCTCCAGCCAAGCCTACCCTAAAACCTGGGGCTTTACCCTTTCCAGCCCTCCCCAGGGAGACCACCTCTCCAGGGGCTGCAGGTGGCAAGAGGCCACATGCCAGGGCAGGGTCCTGTGGCACGGAGAGCAGAGGAGGAGCCCAGGATCTTGGGTTTGCAGAGCTGTATGGGACTGAGGGCCAGGGCAGTCTGGGGGGAGCACTGACACACCAAGCACCTCGGGGCTGCAGGTGGTGGAGCCAGGGCAGCACACAGCACCAGGAGTGTCATGGGCCCCTGCACAGCACAGGGCACCACACGGACGGCTCCTGCCTGCTCCCATCCAGCTCCAGGCGCTCAGCACCCCAGACCCCCTGTGCATGGGCTGGGGTCCCTTCTAAAGACATCACAAACCTGGCCCCCATCCCTCGGGGCCCCCGAGGCAAAGACTGGGCTGAGCTGCCTGCAAACAGCAAAGCACAGGGCAACGGGCAGGCCAGGGGCTGCGGCCCTGTCTGTCCATCCCCGCTCGTCCGTCCCCAGGCTGTGGGGTGCACTGGGGCAGCGCCCGGGGGCCTCGGGGACCTCTCGGCATCGGCAGGGCTGGTACCCACACCCCTGCCCTGGCAGCATCAGGAGCAGGGCTGTCCCCTCGGCAGGTGAGGTCCCCGGGGCGGTGCGGGTGGTTAGCAGCAGCAGCAATGAGACTAATCACCAGCAATTAAAAACGAAAAGGAAACAAAGCTCCAGCGGCGTGAGCAGAGCAGGGAGAGGGGTACGTACCTCCTGGAGTTGGGGGCAAGGAAAGGAAGAGCCAAAATCATGGAAACATACAAATGAGGGAGAAAAGAAAATTAAAAAAAAAAGGAAGAAAAAAAAAAAAGAGGAAACCCCAAAGAACCCCCCATCGCCCCACGCGGGTCAGTGGGGCAGGGCTGCAGCAGGGAAGCTGTGAAGGGCCGCGTCGGCAACTCCGCCACGGGGGCAACCTGCCCTGGCTCACTGTGGCTCTGAGGGATGGATCTCCTTGGCTGGGGGGACACAGGGCCTGGTTGCTCCCACCATGGCCTCCCTGGGGTGCCTCCCTACCCTATGAGGGGGCTGAGCTGCAGCAGCTGTGCCTGCTTTCCGCACCCGGCCCCCCCAGCCTCAACAGCAGCAGGGGCTGACCTGCCAGGCACTGGGCTTGCCTGGGGCCAGGAGAAGCAGGTCTGGGGCCCTCCCCTGCATCCCCCTGCCCCAGAGATGGGGGGCAGATAGCCCTTGCTCAGCCACAGGACCAGGCTCTGCACCAGTCAGGGCACAGCAGGGGTTTAAGATCTCTCTGTCATGCTGAGGGTGTGACAAAAGGCAGAAACAACCCAGTGAGAGGACACAGACCTGACCCCAGCAAGAGCCTTGGGGAAAAGCCCCCGCCAGACCCCGCTCCTGGCATCCCCCTGCCACACTCCCTCACTTAACCCGGGCAGAGGATTCCCCAGTGCTGCCGAGAGTAGCCACAGGAGCCAGGGCACGGGGCGGGCCGGCCAGCCGGGCTGTGCAGCGGGGATGCCATGCACGCTGCCTGCATGTGGAGCTGGGATGCAGAGGTGATAATGCTGTGGGGAGGGAAGGCAGGGACCGGGCTGTGGCATGGAGGGGGGACGCACGCAGCCTGGGGCAGCTCGCCGCTTACTCCTGGGGGTCTGCTCTGACAGGGCCCTGCTGTGACATGGTGACAAGAAGGGCCTCACGGTCATGCTCTGACCCCGGTACCAGCTCTGCACCCCAGGGTTTGCCCAACCTAGAGGCAGAATCCCCTGGGACACCCACCCTGCCACATGGCAGGGCCTCATCAGCTCTGAGTCTGCTCCTGCCACTCAGGGCAGGGAAGATGGAGAGCTGCTGGACATACGGATGCCTTCCCCACAGGGGTTGTGTCCCCATCAGCAGCCTCTTGCTCCTCCACAGGGCCAAGCTCCAAGGAGCCAGGCCAGCAGGTGAGGTGCACACAGCCTAGGGCCATCGCACCTGCAGCCCAGCTCCTCCAGGCTGCCAGCACTCACCTAGCTTCAGGAGCCAGCCCTCCCGGTCAGGGTTGAAGAACGTGTGGGTCAGGTCATTGCCATCATCCTCTGGGATTTTAAAGGGTTCGTTCTTGATGCTCTCATAGAGATTCTGGTAGAGTGGCACAGTGTCAGCTCTGCTCCGCCCAGGCCAGCACTGCAGCCCAGCCCCAGCCCCCTCGCCCCGGCACTCACCCGGAGCAGCTCCTCAGGTAGGTCCCCCCCATCGTTGATGCCACGGTTCATGGCGATGAAGCGCTCTGCCGTGGGTTTGTCTTTGACGTTGGGGTTGTGCAGGCTGGTGTTCAGCATGATGATAGCAAAGGACAGCACGTAGCAGGTGTCTACAGGGGCAGAGGGGAAAGTCAGTGCGAGGCAGGAAGGCTGGGGAGGGGGGCTGGGGCCGGCGCTCACCTGTGGACTGGAAGACGCCAGGGTTGCACTGGCAGTACCGCTGGGCAAACGCCTCCATCATCCGGTCGATCTTCTGCGCCTCCCCGGGCAGCCGGAAGCTCCACAGGAACTGCCTGCAAAGAGCAAGGCCTTGTGCTGCTTCCGGGGCTCCAGACACCCTCCTGCCATCCTCATGTCGCTACAGCCCCTCGCCAGGACCCCCTGAGGGGACACAGCTCAGCTCCCAGCCCCCTTTGCTCACCGCAGGGCCTGCACGAGGTTGAGGTCAGTGAACTCGTGCAGCTCCACGAAGGCATGCAGGACTTGGATGTTGAACTCATCCCTGTGGGAACAAAGCCAGAGCACAAGGGATGCATGATCAGCAAGTCCTGTGACTGCCGAGCAGCCCCAAGTCTCCCTGCCCCGCTCCAGGCTCTGCTCATTTGTGTGGGAAACTTGCAGCTACCCCTTGGCTGGAATCCTGGGCTGGTGTGCATAGGCTGGCCAGGCCAGCACTGCAGCCCAGCCCCAGCCCCCTCGCCCCGGCACTCACCCGGAGCAGCTCCTCAGGTAGGTCCCCCCCATCGTTGATGCCACGGTTCATGGCGATGAAGCGCTCTGCCGTGGGTTTGTCTTTGACGTTGGGGTTGTGCAGGCTGGTGTTCAGCATGATGATAGCAAAGGACAGCACATAGCAGGTGTCTACAGGGGCAGAGGGGAAAGTCAGTGCGAGGCAGGAAGGCTGGGGAGGGGGGCTGGGGCCGGCGCTCACCTGTGGACTGGAAGACGCCAGGGTTGCACTGGCAGTACCGCTGGGCAAACGCCTCCATCATCCGGTCGATCTTCTGCGCCTCCCCGGGCAGCCGGAAGCTCCACAGGAACTGCCTGCAAAGAGCAAGGCCTTGTGCTGCTTCCGGGGCTCCAGACACCCTCCTGCCATCCTCATGTCGCTACAGCCCCTCGCCAGGACCCCCTGAGGGGACACAGCTCAGCTCCCAGCCCCCTTTGCTCACCGCAGGGCCTGCACGAGGTTGAGGTCAGTGAACTCGTGCAGCTCCACGAAGGCATGCAGGACTTGGATGTTGAACTCATCCCTGTGGGAACAAAGCCAGAGCACAAGGGATGCATGATCAGCAAGTCCTGTGACTGCCGAGCAGCCCCAAGTCTCCCTGCCCCGCTCCAGACTCTGCTCATTTGTGTGGGAAACTTGCAGCTACCCCTTGGCTGGAATCCTGGGCTGGTGTGCATAGGCTGGCCCCTGGCAAGTGCCAGCCACAGACTGAACAGCCCCCTGTGTACCCCTCAACAGCTGCCCTGGGAGCCTGAAGAGCTGCAGCTTCACACCCCTCAGGTGCTGAGAGCCCAGGGCAGACCCGAGCCACCCCAGGCCAGTGTACCTCTCGCCCAGGTAGTCCCCGATGGCCGTCTTGTTGAGGCCCTCTCCCTTGTACAGGAACTGAGCAATATCCTCACAGGTGTTCTTCAGCAGGTCATTTTCGATCAGGAACTGGATGCCCTGCAGTGGTGCAAGAGGCAGCTCTGGGGCTTGCTGCTGACCCCACCAGTCTGCCCACTGCCTCCCTAGCCCCTGCCCTGGGTCTGGTGGCCAGGTGCCTGACTGTGGTGTGGCAGAGACCAGCACAGCCCCAGATGGGCCAGGAAATGCCCCCTGCATGTGGCCCCTGGGAGCCTGCTGCCCTGGTCCCTGCCCAGCCCGCCTGCTGCACCTTCTTGGGATCCATGTTGAACTTCTTCCTGCCCATCGCCACCTGCTTGTTCCTCTGCATGTTTTTCCTGAAAGACAAAGCAGCTCTGAGCACCTAGGAGGGACCTGACTTCCCCCTGCCCACCCCCTCGCCCCTCGGGCAGAGCAGTGTGGGGAGGGGTCAGCCTGGACCAAAAAGAGCCGAGCAGCCCTGACCGTGCCAGCCCCTGCACTGATCCGGCACACGGCTCCGTGACACGGGGCTGCATGGGGCACGTGGGCACCAACCAGGGGGGCACCCCCTCCCTCCCCAGAGGAGGGGTGTGGGGCACTGAACCCTGGGAGGTCACCTCTGCAAAGGGGGAGAACAGGGCAAGCTGAGTGCTCAGGGGAGAGCAGCCTTCAGGCCACAGTGGGGCTGGCGTGAGGGTGACAGCCTTCATGCCCCAGTGGGTGATTGGAAACGACGCTGGGCCTCAGCTCCTGTTGGCTGCTGGGACCCCCTAATCCCAGGCTGGCACTGCCTGAGCCAGCTCAGAAAAACAAAGTCCGGCAGTTGCTGTGGCCAGACAGAGGGGCTGAGGCTTGGAAAAACAGACCTTTGGAGTAGCAGTTCAGACCGGGATCCTGCTACTGCTCCAAAGAATGTAAAGTGCCTGGGAAAGGCACCAGCACCCACGGAATGGGGCTGCAGTACCTAGCTGCCCACAGCTCCCACACAGCCCCTCTCCCAAGGGGGGCTCAGAACACCGGCC